ACCCAAGTAGGTGACATAATTCTCTTTTATTTAAAGTGTGACCAAACTTTTTGAGTATATTTTGAACCCAATGAACTTTTTTTGTGCTTTTCTTTTCTTTATGGTGGTATACTAAATTTATGACTCCTACTTTCCAAACTCGTTTGTTAGAACATTTGGTAGCTATTCCAGACTCTGAAAATAATGATAGTGTCAATCACTGAGCATCTATGGCGTGCCTGGCACTGTGCTGAGCATTGTACATATGGCATCACTAATCCTACTGACAGCCTCACAGTGTTACATTTTTTTCTCCTGTTTACAAAGCAGACCAATAAGGTTCACAGAAGCTAAAAGACATATACTAGGTCCCACTGTTACGTTCAACTCTAAAAGTGTGTTTATTCTACTGTATCACAATGCTTCTTTCAGAGGCTTCGTATGTAAGTTCTGAGGCATATTCATAATAGTGACAACGTCTGTAATATTGGCAATGAGAAAAGACAGTGAGTGCAAGTCCTTACTGTGCTATAATCCCTGGAGCTCCACTCCTCCTGTGTCCTTTCAGTTCCTAGCTGGATTCCTGAGTGCTCAAAACCTACCCCTCCCACAGTGGTCAACACTGGCACCCACTCTCTCCATAGGTGTGATCAAAGTCCCCCATGTCTGGTCACCACCATATGGTTCTCTTTTTCTTTGCTGCCACTTCTCCTCTTCCTGTAGTGGCCAAAGTCAGTGAGGTTGTAGTCACCACACTGAGTCTCCCTGTGCACCAAGCTCAGAAATCCAATATCCTCATGAGGGCCCATCCCTCTTTGATTGCGGTCTTGACAGGCATGTGCTGAACCAGGCTCACGTGAGAGGACACAGGGTCCCAGCTCTGAGGCTGAACCTTCACCACTCTGTCCAAACGAAAAGGGAACAGTAACTGCTGGCTTCTAAAGTGCTCGCCACTGAAATTGAAACAATTTGAAAGTCATCACTGCATGTGATTTTTTTCTGTGAAAAGTTAGTGCCTTGCAATAGTGGATACTCAATTGTTGTTTAATATTGAAGAACACATATAATACAAGTAAAGAAGAACAAAGCAGCCCTGAAGGCAATACCAGCTGAGCTTGAGTGTCCATTCTGAAGCTGCTGCTAGTGTTTCCTTGCTTACTGATTTGTGTTTCTATTTTATCAGTCCCATGAGTTTGAGGCTATTTACATATATTTCAGATAAGCACATAATTTATTAGTTAGATTTTAGTTAATAACTAGGTATTTTGAGATAAATCTCATCCTGGAGTCATATTTATTCAATAACAAATTCTTATTGACGTCCTACTATGTGCTGAGACAGAGCAGTGAATAAACTCAGACGAAGGCCTTTCTTCTTTCCTAGGACACATATGGGGCAAGGGAGGAAAACAGTAAACAAATAAGAAATCAAAATAATAAAAAAATTCAAAGAAGAAAATAAAACAGAATTAAGGGAGAATAGTGATGGGGCTGAGAAAGCTAGTTCAGATGGGCTAGTCAGCAGAGGCTTTCGTGATAAAATGATATTTGAGCCAGCACTGAATGAAGTAAGTTTTTCAGAGGAAGCGCAAATGCCAAGGCCTGGAGTGGGAACTGCTTGGCATGTTCCATAAAGTTTGATGAGGCAAACGTATCTGGAAGAGAAAGAGCAGAAAGGAAGACAGTGGAAGGTCAGATTACAAAGAAAGAAAACGAGATCATCTGAGGACTTGGAGATCATAAAAGGTTTCATCTCCAAATGATCCTGTCTGGGATTAAAGTGGCTCAGTAACTTGTTTGTTACAAAGGGATGTGGTCCCAGAAAGTCCTGTGACATCCTGGCAGGCAAGTCTGATTCAGAATAGATCCAAAAGCTGCTTCAGGAGCTTAACATTTAGACTAGTCCAATTCTGTTACTGCTTGGTGATCCTATTAACCTGAAGGATTTAAGGCAGTTACTAAACAAATTGTGTGACTTTCCTCCTCACAGGTTTGTGGGAAACCCTGAAGATAGGTCCAAACTCAATGTTACACATATGCAACCTTTTGCACTGTGAAGGATTTACCGTAGACCCAGTAGCCCATATTTTACAATAGGATCATAAATGAATGGCACATGATGTAAAGACATTTCACAGCCTGAAAGAAATAATATAAATATGAAAGTCAGCTGGGCATGGTGGCTCACACCTATAATCCCAGCACTTTGGGAGGCCAAGGTGGGAGGATCACCTGAGGTCTAGAGTTCGAGACCAGCCTGGCCAACATAGCAAAACCCATCTCTACTAAAAATACAAAAAATTAGCCGGCCATAGTTGGGGGGTGGGGGCGAGGACAGAGGTTACAGTGAGCCAAGATTGCACCATTGCACTTCAGCCTGGGCAACAAGAGCCAAACTCCATCTCAAAAAAATATAAGATAAAATAAAAAAATAAAATAAAAATATGAAAGTCAGATATAGGTGATGGGGAGGAAGGCAGCAAATCACACTGCCACGTGTGTACCTATGCAACAATCTTGCATGTTCTTCACATGTACCCCAAAACCTAAAATGCAATTAGAAAGAAAAGGGAAGACTTAGGAAGATGGCGCCTCCCATGGAGGGCAGGCTGGTGCTGGGAAGCAAGAGGTGTCTATGAAGTTGCCTCAGAACCCTGTTGCTAAAGCAGTACCTCTCAAGGTGTAGAGCTCAATGCAGAGGAAGTGTGTCCTGTTCTTACTCTATATGTAGTGTCTTTTTTTTTTTAATCTCAACTATGACAACAGGCACCAGGAACCAAAGGTTAACCCTATGCTTAGACCAAAGCCTTAGAGGCTGTGCAGCAAGGATCTACCCGTGTAGGAGGAACCCAAGGGAAAGGAGAAGGTGGTGGGGGGATCAGAGCTGAATTTTGTGCCCGCTGAGTGCCCTTCAGACTTTAAGAAGAGGCAGTCTTGTCTTTAAGCACACCCTCAATGTTAATTATCATCTTAACCTTTTAACTAATCTGTGCTTCAGTTCCTCAGCTGTAAAAGAACAAGAATAAATCCTGTGTCATGAGGTTGTTGTGAAAATTAAAAGAGTTAATATGGATAAAGCACTTAGAACAGTAAAAAAAAAATATATGGAAGTCAAGGTACATATATAGGGATTTTCGATTATAGATAACAGAAACCAAGCAAAGCTAGCTTTAAAAAATAATGAGAGAGAATTCATTATAATGACATGAAGTGGTTCACAGAATCCAAAGGTTAGAAGGTAGTCAGGCCTTAGAAGGGGCTGATTCTGAACTAGAAAATTGTCGGGCTCTCTCTGTCTCTCAACTCTGCATTTCTCTACCCATATGCTTCATTCTAAGCTCCCTCCTCACACAGAATAGAATCCCACTGGTCAAACTGGGATCAGTTGTTTACTCTTAGTCCAATCAGTTGTAATCAAAAGGCAAGTTCAAGTCATATCAACAGAAACATGGCTGTCAGAACCTCCTCCTGCAAGCCACCCTCAACGAAGTGGTGGATTGAGCAGACAACCCTAGCAACCTCTGCCGTACAAGGCATTTGATTAGGCCTTTCATCTACGTATTTATTTTATTTGGAGACAACGTTGAGAAGTACTCTTGCAAGAACTCCTCCAAGGGGTTATTTTCAGGTGGGGTGAGATATGATGAGGCAGGCTATATATATACAATGTAAGAAAAAAATCACACAATTGATGCATTTTTTTCTTGTGAGTTATGTTTTTAAGAGAAAATTTCTCCATCATACCAACATGGTATAAAGCAGTAGTCTCCAGTCTTTTTGGTACCAGGCACTGGTTTCATGAAAGATAGTTTTTCTATGGACTGGGGCAGGGATAGGATAGTTTCAAGCACATTACATTTATTGTGCACCATATTAGTATTATTACATTGTAATATATAATGAAATAATTATACAACTCGCCATAATGTAGAATCAGTGGGAGCCCTGAGCTTGTTTTCCTGCAACTAGAGGGTCCCATCTGGGGGTGATGGGAGATAGTGACAGATCATCAGGCATTAGATTCTCATAAGGAGCATGCAGCCTAGATCCCTCACAAGCACAGTTCACAGTAAGGTTCACACAGCCTAGAGCCCTCGCATGTGCAGTTCACAACAGGGTTTGTGCTCCTGTGAGAAACTAAAGCCACCGCTAATTTGACAGGAGGTAGCGCTCAGGCGGTAATGTGAGCGATGGGGAGGGGCTGTAAATATAAATGAAACTTTGCTCACTTGCCTGCCTCTCATCTCCTGCTGTGTGGCCCAGTTCCTAACAGGCCCCAGACTGGTAATGGGGGTTGGGGACCCCTGGTATAAAGGAAAAATAAAAATTTGATTTCTGTAGGAAGCTTTGGTTTAAATCTTGGTGTATTCAGCTAATGGTCATGTGACTGTGAGCAACTCCCTCTGGGAAGCAGTTGGACTATATTCTCCTTAAGGGAGCTTCCAGAAACTCTTCAGCTGTAATATATTATTTCCATTTGGTGGCAAGTAGCTTCTTAGGGATTTGTTTTCAGGTTAATTGAAGACCATCAACAAAAGTGGTTGAGAGAGGCTATAGAATTCTACAGATCTGAGTTTGATCTTGGCCCTGCCAATGCTTCACAGTTTGACTTCACTTAAGTTAGTAAGTTAGTTAACTTCCTAAACACAAGTTTGCTTGCCTGTCAAATGCAGGGGACAGTAACTACCTTAATATTTTGCTGTACACATTGAACAAGAAAATACGTGAAAGAACCTGGCTCACTGTGAGTGTTCAATTCAATTCTTGCCATTATTCTCAGACTGTGAAAATTCCTAAACTTTTCCCTATCTTCCTTTGTAAGTGAAAATTAAACTCTGATGCTCTTTCAGAGTGCCCTCATGGCATGGACTAACGAAAACATAATGAGATTGGAGTTTGGGAGATCATAGAGAAGTATCATACACAAATAACACCTTCATGTCATCCATAAACTCACTCTACGCCTGAATAATTTTTAATTACCTTTGTATAATGTGACTTTCCCATGTGTTTCTGGGCAGATGTGAAAGCATAGAGCTGGACAAAAAAATCCAGGATCTGATTGAGAGAAATGCTTCTCCTCACCCAAAAGGGGTCACCCCAGAGGCCATGCCAACTCACAGAAATCCATGTTCTCCAAAGGTAAGAAAGCACCTTTTTTCTCCTTATCTCAATTACCCTTCAACAGCTTATTCACCAAGAAGAATTTGCAGGGACAGTCCCCAAGTCATTTACAGTCAGTCATGTACTTCCTTGTCAGCTGAGAGGATAAAGTGAAGCAGTGTAAAACTTCTCTCACACAGTCACTTCCTGTTACTAAAGAAATTCTTCAGCAGAAGAATTTGCTGGCACTTTCCAGTTTAAAGTGTTCAGGCAGCTGTGACTACAAGAAGGTGAGGAGCTCATGCTACTAGAAAGAATGTTTATTGCAGGGGCAACTCTTTTCTGGGAAGAAATAACCTGTTTTGAGTAAACCCATTTAAATTGGGTTACCAAAATCAGCATAAACCATGTCAATGATTTTTTGTAGTTGTTTTTGTTTTATTTTGTATTTTTGTAAGAAAAAACAAGGTTTCACTGATTAAAGGAGTTGTTTGACTTTGAACTTCCACTTGTTTCAGGATATTTGTCTATGGTGCTTTATATAAGCAAATCAAGGGTAAGCTCAAGCTAGGAATTTTACAGATGACTTTCTAGACATGCATCCTATGACAACATGCACTCAAACTCCGTAGTCCTCTCGATTAAAAACTCTCTTTCATGATTATTATATATATATATATATATATATATATATATATATATATATATCATGAGTGCATTTGAGAAAATGGTTGGCATTTTTAAAAGTAATTTATACTTCTGCTTAAAAATAACATTAGTTCTTTTTTCTAAATCGGTTCATTTTCAGTGTAGAAAATGTATATGGATAAACACAGAAAACAATAAAAATCATCCAGAGACAGATTCACTGTATAGGTAATGGAGCTTGGGCTCCCTTAAACAAATATTTACTTTTTTAACTAATTTGCATCCATAAATTTGTTTCTTTTTTGTTTTAAAGGAAATCCCAGAATTGTATAGGCCTCAGGCCTCACTAAACATGGATCTGGCTTTGAAACCACCAGTAGGCTCACCACCTATACAGAGCATCTCTCAGCATTTGGAATATCTCTGTGTTTTACCCACACACATGTATACACACATCTGTCTTGTTAACTTACCTCTTTTCACTTAATATGCTGTGGATACTCCTGCACCTCTTTCTTTCATTCATGTCATGAATGGTGTTGTGTACTTTCTGTATTTAGGCACTTTTCCCTGTTTAAAAACTTACTTCTTCCTGAACAGGTTTTCTTTATTTCAGAGTTACAGATGAATGTGTACTAATGGTTAAGAGGTCAAAGGCCTCTTTCTTCCATTTTCTTCTTCTTTTCTCCCAACTCCAAGCCCTCACATATACACCTCTGACTCCCAACTAGAAATTTATTCCTTCATGAAAATGTGTGCTTTTTCTAGCCACATTCTTGTCTAACCCCAGAAATAAATTTCATGGTCTTAATTTCCTCTCATACCCTCATCTTCATATCCTCTCATTACCATCCTCTAAGACCCATTTGATCATGACTGACCTTCCTTGCAATTCTGTTCATTTGTCTTCTTGGTCCTTCCTTACATGATAAAAACCTATTCTACATCCTTATTACCATCCTTTTAGATACAGGTTCTGCCTCCTTCTGGGACTTCACTGAAACTTTTGTCTCTCTCTCTCTAAGATACTGATTCTCCTATGACTTCATTGAGGAAATGTGCTCATTCTCCTACACTTCACACTTCCAGGCAAAGGTCAGCAGATTCTTAGCTGTTGTTTTCTATTTTCTTCATGAAGTATGAGGTAAAGACATCTACAGAGACTGAGAGGGTAGGGGGTGAGACCCAAGGCTTAAGGAAATTGGGGAAGATATGAAATGACTGTTAGAAGGCAGGGAGACAGAAACGATAAGTGAAACTAAAATAAATTGCATAGTAGCAGTGAGGACCGAGTTGAGTGTGAAAACCACCACTGTATGATAAGACCAATCATTTAATAGTGTGGGGGTTCCTACGTCTTCAATATCTCCATCACCTCTCACCAGCTTAAAATATGTACAATTCTCCTTCACTGCAAACATATATGAGACCCCATCTTCTTTTATGGGCAATGTTTGAATTCACTCTTACACATCATAGCCAAGCTCATTGATCACAGCATCCAAAACTTTCCCACTCCTATCTTACCGTTAATAACCTCTATCTGGATAAATCCAATGGTCATTTTGCATTTTACTTTTCTCTTGTCTTCTCATTTGCATCTGATGCTATTTAGTCATTCAATTTTCTTAAAATGTCTTACTCCATTGACATCTATAATATGAATCCCTGGACATCCTCACCACCCCTCCCCACTTTTTTTCTCTGGTTTCTCCTTCTTACTCACCTTCACTGGCTTCCCTTATATCACCTGCTTGTGCTATATTAGTGTTTCTCAGGAATCTGTCCTAGGCTCATTAAACTACAAAATATATGACGATGACTCCAAACACATGTACTTATTAAACATGGAGTGTTTTTCTACATGTACTCTCTTTCCTCTCAATATTTCCCGAGTGAATTCAATATATTTCCTGCTGTATCTGCTTGTCATCTCTCCCCACAACCACCACACACACACTTTCTATACTGGTGAATGAATCATTAGATGCACAGTCATCCAAATTTGAGGGAATCCCTCAGGGCCACCATACTGCGCGACTCAGGTGGCACCATTCACAGAGTACTGCCATCTTTCCTTCACTCTGGACCTTCCCTAAGGGTCTTCTTTAATCTGCTTTTATTACATCGCTGGGCTTTTTTCCTTTTTCTTCATTCTATCAACATAGATCTTACTAAGGTACTTAAAACCTAAAAGTGCTTAAAACTTAAAAGTACATCTCTTTACATACATCATTGAATTCAAATGCCTTTGCATCATCTATACAGTCCTTCAAGATATGGCTTCTGTCACATTTAGAACCGAACATTAGAAGAAGGATATAATACTTGTTGGGATAAACATGTATTGGGGTAAATGTTTTATTTTGTTTGATGCCTACAACAACACTTAAATATGACTGTCTTTATCCACATTTTCCAAATGAGAAAATTAAAACTCATAGAAATTTTAACGTTGCCTAAATTCACAAACTTGTATCAAGATAGAAAGCCAAGTTTGTGCATATTTTGCTTACAGTGTTTTAGTGTCTTCTATATATTCTGCTACTTTCCAAAGTGCACCTGTGTTCTAGCTACCCGTAAGCCTTTGACAAACCATGAAGTTTCCTGTGCTATCATTTCACATGCTGTTTACTCTTTCTGTAAATGCTTGCTTCCTTGCCCATTTGATGAGCTGCCTTTTTATGCCAATTCAAACTTTCTTGTTTTGAAAACTTTTCATCCTCTCTAGTCCCACATAGTGTTACTCAGTCCCCTCCCTGCTTTGTCGTACATCTTTTTTTTCTTGTATGTCATTTATAGACTTTATCATTTTGCTTTTGTAATCACTTACATATTTATGTGTTTTCTTTCATATGGATTATGAGAGATTTATGGATTTTTTGGGGATGGGGTGTAAAGTGTTCCATGAAGGTCTAAAGTATCACAACATAGAGTTTTCTAGAAATCACCAGTAGTAAACAACTTGTTTGGTTTCATGAGACCTGCTAACACTGAATATGCAATCAATTTACCTTATAATTCCTCTACAAATAGTTCTCAGAGTCTGCAGGGGAATATCGAATGTATACTCATAAGCTTAATCTCTGAGTTCTTGTATGGAAGCTACCATTTGGTCTTGCCCATCTTGGTGTCGTGAAGTTATTGACTGCCAAAAGTTTTCAGATGCTCAAACTGTCCTTGCTTCTCAAAGTTTGCTGTACCACTCTCAGGAGCACCACTGGTTACCACTCACTGTGTCAAGTGTGCTCAGTGTGGAATATGTCTTCAAGAATGCAAATGCAACTAAACGCTATTGCTCTTGCAACCGAGGTGGAGAGACTTCTTTTCCAACTTTAGCTTGCATGTCCAGTGTCTGCCAGAGGGTCACAGTCCTTTCAGTTTGTCATTCTTTGAGTTTTAGCTGCTGTCTATCGAGTGCCTACTCTCGGCCAGCATTTTGCACAGTACTTCCATTCATTAGCCCATTTCATCTTTAACCCTCTACAGATGGGGAAACTGGAGTTCAATGAGGCTAAACAATTTTCTCATGATCGTACAGCTAATGAGATTTAGATTCTGGACCTAAACTCAAATCTGTCTAATGAAAACAATTGCCCTGTACTTCCTAGATTTAGTTTTCCCTCCCTCACATCAGAGTTATTTGAAAACTAGGCCAGAGCTCTGGTTGGTGTCCGGAACAATACTGTCATCAGACTAACTCCTCTTTGAGCTTGAAGCACCACACTTGGATCAATCCACTGTGACTTGATTCTTAACCAGGATAAATTCTTCCAGAATAGCCCCCAGGAGTCTCCCATCTTCATCACAATAGACCACTGGCATAACCTCCTCAATTGTCCTCTGCAGGTATTTCAAATATCTGATTCTTTTAGTAAACATGGCTTCATTTCCAGGTGGAATCTCTGCTGAGCTGCTATTTACACAATAGCACTCTGCAAAAATAAACCTTATATTCAGAACAAAACAAAGACCTTCACATTTTTGCTGTGATATTGATAGAAAAGAAAAAAATATAAGAAAATTTCAATTTAGTTAAGACAAGAGTGAGCCAATCATAGGGACTATAGAAGGCTTCTCTCGTTTTCACACTGAATGAAGTTAGCCTAAGGACGATAAGGTAGATTCCCTTTCCAGGAGCAGGAAATTAGTTTCTTTATGACTTTGTGGGATGTGAAGGGTGCGACTGAATGAAAGAGATATGATTTAATGAACAAGCCTGAGACATATGTCAAGTTCCCTTTCTGATCAACTACTATTGCCAAGAATATGTAAGGAAGAAGAATTACCATAAGAGAAATGAACAGACTGACTCATGCTTTGAGGAAACAGAAAATTGCTATTGATGAACATGAGAAAGTCCATGAGCATGAAAGTAGGCTTTTATATTC